TTCGATTCTGTTCCAACATGTCCCATCCGTCTTTTCGTGATAATGTACGTACGGACCCACATACACACTGACCGGCTCCTTTCACAACTAGTTACACAGCTTGCTCGGTGCTGTGGAAACCCGTTCCGAGGAGCCACAGGGCCGGTTGCGGGAGCCGAACAACTCCTTGCTGCTGCTGATGGAGCACGCTATCCTAGCTCCTCGTCATGGTTTGGGGCTGGGACGATTGCGTCCAGACATGTCCTGATTGGCCGCCTGCGTCGAGTCACTGATACGTGGCTGTCCTCATGCATATGGATGTATGGTGGCTTGCAATCCTTTTGCTGCTCTTGTGCCTTGCTTGGGTGCACGCTGCTTGACGGTCAGGTGCTGCGGGCGTCCGGTCCCCTCCACCTAACATTATACTGGCAGCCAGAGCACTGGGCTGGTATCGCTGCTTGTTCGTGGCCAGAAACTCGACGTCATGAGCACCTAGGTACTGGCCTGCACATTATTATGGTCATTTGGCATGACTCAGTGCCTATTCCTCTAATAAAATTACTGCGCTATGACGACAACTTAGAGGCTGTTTATGACACCTCATGATTATAACTACTCCAAAAAACGACTTCTTCTTCCACCGAGCGCTCTTGACCTGCTGTGGCATGCTAATTTGCAGTCGCTGTGATGATCCTGGTCTCCCGGGTTTTCTCTTCCACCTGTTCCAGACTGCTCCCTACTGCAGGGCGAACCTCCGNCTCCCAACGCGTTCTTCGCGCTCGCTGATGTCGCTACCTGTTTGTTTGTTTTCTAGCTTGCTGTCCTCTGGCCGTGACGACAATGGTCCATGGGGGTTCCTGACCCCAAACATCTCCCGCTAGCTGGGAGACGGATGGATCTGTTCTGAGCCATGAAACGCATCCCTGTGTGTCCATGATGTCGCTACCTGTTTGCTTGCTTTTGCTGTCCTCTGGCCGTGACGACAATGGTCCATGGGGGTTCCTGTCCCCAAACATCTCCCGCTAGCTGGGAGACGGATGGATGTGTTATGAGCCATGAAACGCATCCCTGTGTGTCGATGATGTCGCTACCTGTTTGCTTTTTTTTGCTTTCCTCTGGCCGTGACGACAATGGTCCATGGGGGTTCCTGACCCCAAACATCTCCCGCTAGATGGGAGACGGATGGATCTGTTCTGAGCCATGAAACGCATCCCTGTGTGTCCATGATGTCGCTACCTGTTTGCTTGCTTTTGCTGTCCTCTGGCCGTGACGACAATGGTCCATGGGGGTTCCTGACCCCAAACATCTCTCGCTAGTTGGGAGACGGATGGATCTGTTCTGAGCCATGAAACGCATCCCTGTGTGTCGATGATGTCGCTACCTGTTTGCTTTCTTTTGCTGTCCTCTGGCCGTGATGACAATTGTCCATGGGGGTTCCTGACCCCAAGCATCTCCCCCTAGCTGGGAGACGGATGGATCTGTACTGAGCCATGAAACGCATCCCTGTGTGTCGGTGATGTCGCTACCTGTTTGCTTTCTCTTGCTGTCCTCTGGCCGTGACGACAATGGTCCATGGGGGTTCCTGACCCCAAACATCTCCCGCTAGTTGGGAGACGGATGGATCTGTTCTGAGCCATGAAACGCATCGCTGTGTGTCGATGATGTCGCTACCTGTTTGCTCGCTTTTGCTGTCCTGTGGCCGTGACGACAATGGTCCATGGGGGTTCCTGACCCCAAACATCTCCCGCTAGCTGGGAGACGGATCGATCTGTTCTGAGCCATGAAACGCATCCCTGTGTGTCCATGATGTCGCTACCTGTTTGCTTGCTTTTGCTGTCCTCTGGCCGTGACGACAATGGTCCATGGGGGTTCCTGACCCCAAACATCTCTCGCTAGTTGGGAGACGGATGGATCTGTTCTGAGCCATGAAACGCATCCCTGTGTGTCGATGATGTCGCTACCTGTTTGCTTTCTTTTGCTGTCCTCTGGCCGTGATGACAATTGTCCATGGGGGTTCCTGACCCCAAGCATCTCCCCCTAGCTGGGAGACGGATGGATCTGTTCTGAGCCATGAAACGCATCCCTGTGTGTCGATGATGTCGCTACCTGTTTGCTTTTTTTTGCTTTCCTCTGGCCGTGACGACAATGGTCCATGGGGGTTCCTGACCCCAAACATCTCCCGCTAGATGGGAGACGGATGGATCTGTTCTGAGCCATGAAACGCATCCCTGTGTGTCGATGATGTCGCTACCTGTTTGCTTGCTTTTGCTGTCCTCTGGCCGTGATGACAATGGTCCATGGGGGTTCCTGACCCCAAACATCTCCCGCTAGCTGGGAGACGGATGGATCTGTTCTGAGCCATGAAACGCATCCCTGTGTGTCGATGATGTCGCTACCTGTTTGCTTTCTTTTGCTGTCCTCTGGCCGTGACGACAATGGTCCATCGGGGTTCCTGACCCCAAACATCTCCCGCTAGATGGGAGACGGATGGATCTGTTCTGAGCCATGAAACGCATCCCTGTGTGTCGATGATGTCGCTACCTGTTTGCTTGCTTTTGCTGTCCTCTGGCCGTGATGACAATGGTCCATGGGGGTTCCTGACCCCAAACATCTCCCGCTAGATGGGAGACGGATGGATCTGTTCTGAGCCATGAAACGCATCCCTATGTGTCGATGATGTCGCTACCTGTTTACTTGCTTTTGCTGTCCTCTGGCCGTGACGACAATGGTCCATGGGGGTTCCTGACCCCAAACATCTCCCGCTAGCTGGGAGACGGATGGATCTGTTCTGAGCCATGAAACGCATCCCTGTGTGTCCATGATGTTTGCTTGCTGTCCTCTGCTATCCAAACAGGGTTTCTCTCAGTAACCATTCGCAGGGCCCATCAAGAGCTTTCGCCTTGGATGCCTTTTCAACTGTTGCGGTGGTAGGATACTCGACTACACGTATGCTAATACGAGACACGGATACTGAACAATGTACTTGTAACATCAGTGTAACATGTCTAAATACTCGAACTAAAAGATATATCTGGCCCTGCAGCCTAAAAGTCGAGCAGCAGCCGCAGCCATCTCTATACGCTATACCAACCGACAATCGGCTCTACTCCCACCAAACTAGGTTTAACAATGTGGGTTGTCGCCCTACAACTACTACCCAAAATCCCTTGCACTACTTGCACAAAACTGTATCTCTATCATTGGTTGATTTGATTTACTAACCATTGAGAAAGGTCGCTTCCTGTCCCAAGGTCTCGGTAGCAAATTTTCGACTCCGTTTGCATGTCGCACCCTCTCTTATGGTCGTTACTGGTCGTCTCTGTCCGGGTCCTGTACTCCGTCTACTGTTGCACAAAAAGCAGGGACAGCATCACTAGCGCTTGGTAAATCGTCTTTCGCACGTTTGTAATCAGCACATGTACGCTCGAGCAGCACACTAAGGGACGTAACACACATGCCGCTCATGTTGAAGCATCCCGAAACGCTATCCGCCACTTATGTCACCACAACGTCACAATCATGGACAGCTGCATTGGCAGCTTTAGCCTAGACACTCATCCACCTGCGCACTGACCTCCCTCTCAAACTTCACTCTATCTGTCTACCCATCTACCTACACTGCTATCTACCCTTCCCTTCCTTCTCCCCTCACCACCCTCCCCCTCCTGCCTCCCCCTCTCCCTCCCCCCCCTCCGGCGCCTCCCCCAACAACCACCCTGCCATCTCCGCCAACACCCGAAACCCGTGGAACCGTGCCAGGTTCCGGTAAACCACCAACCGCCGCGCCGCCGCCTCCGGACGCCGAGTAACCGTCAACCCCCCGCCACACAGCCCACACAGCGCCCGTAAATGCCCCGACGTGACCTGCTTGCACTTGACACATGACAGGTCCTGAGTCTGGTAGGCGGCGGCCTCAGCCCGCAGCGCCGCCACTAGCCGCCGCTCCAGGGCGGCGGTGTCCAGGGGCTGTCGGCAGGAGCGGCAGCGCCAGTCGTGCTGGGCGAGGGCCTCGTCCCGAGTGAGGTCCAGATCTCGACAGTCATTACAGAAGCTGCGTGTGGATGACGGAGTGTTTATTAGGGGGGTGGATCCGCAGGAGTACACACAGGAGTATTCCGAAGCAAAGTCCCAGGCTCCTTCGCCCAGCTGGAGTGACCTCCACCACCACACAAACGGGCCTGTAAGCTGCCGAATCTCCCGAGCCCACCCCAGCCTACACCTCCCCACCACCCTCTCCCCACCCGCACCCGCACCCTCGCCCGCACCTGCATATGACGTCCGGCAGTGCAAACGGCAGGCACATCTCCCGGAACTCCGCATCAGCTCCGAACTCGCTCACGTGTAGCAGCTTGAGCAGCTGCCGCCGCAGGAGGGCCACTTGCTCCGAAACCCGCCCGTCCAGAGCCAGCAGGTGAGAGGCCACGCGGACAAAAGCCAGCGCGGGGTGACCCAACTCCTCCTGCGGTGGGGTGTGTGATGTTCAGGTAGTGGTGGTGGTGGTGTGTGAATAGGGTACCAACCCAACCCACCTCAACCTATTATTCACCCCAACTAATCATGTGACATCGTCGTCCAAGGGGCATGAGGAGTTCCCGTTTTCTAAAACCCCCACTTCCACTTTGGATGAAAAGACCTTCCCTCCCACCCCGCTCCCTTCTTAATGCGCCCACCCCCTTGGTGGTTCGTCCTCCACCACCCCTCCCCACCCACCCTGGACAGGTACGACCCCGCCAGCTGCGGGAAGCTCCACTCGGGGGAGCAGCCGGGAGTGATCACCTTCCACGCAGCCACCCGGGTCAGCAGCCGGTCCGTGAACACCTCCGCAACCAGGGCCTTCAGGAAGGACGACTGCAGGGGAAGGGAAAGACCGAGGGTGGTATCAGTCCCGGCAGTTAATTCAACGAGTGGTGTTAAGTAAATGAAAGAGGAATTGCTTCCAGTCGGTGGTTGGTTTTTAGTGTGATGTGAGGAAGGAGGGGAGGGGGGGAAAGACGAACCACGAACGAGTGAAGGTGCTGCCAGGAAAGACTGTACAAGAAGCAGAACTGACCAGTTGGCGGTCTTCAGGGCGGCGACCTCGGGATGATGTAATGATGAAGACCTACGGAAACCTACCTACCTAGCCGCCAAGACTAAAGTAAGAGCGGAAGAAAAGTAGAAGTTAAGGTAGGTGTAGAGGCGGCAAAAAATAGTAAAGAACTGATGACGTGAGCTGGAAGGGGAGGGGGAGGGGT